TGATACGGTTGCATGACTAAGGATGAATCGGTTGCATGACTAAGGATGAATCGGTTGCATGACTAAGGATGCATCGGTTCAGGCATGGGTTACCAGCTACCCACGGAGCTACCTGGCTTTCCTGGGTATAGGAATGATAAAATTGTTCAGAATGAAGCGTATGTGACAGCATTATCTCTATCATAAGAAGAATTTTCAGCGGGCATGCCATTAGCAGTAAAAGGGGAGGGGGTTAGTGAAGGGCCAGGATCGGAGCATGGCGTCGGAGAAGGGGAAGTAATGCCCCCTCCTTTTGCAGTAGCTGTCTGGCAAATTGGGAGCCTCTCGAAGCTTTCCCCTAGTCGAACAGCTGCTGACGAAAATGGCTAGGTATACTGTAAAATTATGTTGCTAGGCAAAGTAGTCGCGTAGAAGTATAAACATTTGTTAGCGGTAGTAGAAGAAGTATCCACCAAAACAAACGAAGCTCAAAAAGCGTCTCGAAAAGAACCCGTCTCAAACATGAACTTGACCCAAATAAGCATCCACCGGAAACTTCTTCAATGTTTAAACGTTGACAGCCCAATTGGGAAATTTGTGTGCCAAGCATTCATTGCCCAAAATGACGTGTCCTTCTCAAGGTCGGCACTAATCATGGTGGCTCGCCTGTGTTGCGTAAACTGCTTAGAACATGTTTTCGGGTGATGATCGCGCGCCGGTGTGGTGCAGCCCAGCCCAGCGGCTGACCAACCCGCACGACTTGACGGCGCAGATGTGGCGAATTTCATTAAAAGAGCTAATGTTTCCACGATGAGACGATGTGTGGTGGCGCGCGCGCGGTGATGACGGCGTGGGTAAACCTGCTCCACGGTGAATTCGTATCAGATGTGGCGCTTAAGACAATCCGATCCGATTCGACGTACATCAACCAGCTATGATGGCTGCTTGCATATATCGGTAGCATTGAACGATTACTAAGGAAAAAGTGGTTCTATAAGGCCGACCTCTATGAGAAATAGCCACCATCAACGGTGCCGGGCGTCCAAGTGGCTCGTTATTGTAGAAAAGCCGATCCGACATTGTTAGCCGCGTCATATCGTTTCATAGGACCAGATTCTGCACAGATTCACTACCTAAGACTACTTTCGCCGGAGACGTTGTAAGTAATGGATGAAGTAAGAGATTGAAAGTTGGATGGGTGCTGGTTCTTTAGGACTTGACGAACTAGTACCCATCTCATCAAACGCATCTCATGGGTTTAGGCGCCTACCACTACCATTTCTCAATTATCTCAATGGTGCTCAATACTTCAGCATGAGCTACGAATTCCAGACAGGTCGTGACGTTGGTAAAAATTGTGGGATTATGACCCCTCCCC